GCGGAGAACTGGACAATGAGTTGTTGGCCTAAAACGCCGAGTAAGAATATTCCGTATGGAGGGTGGAGCACGCGCAAAGGCCCCAGGGACATGGGCTAACAAGCATGTTCAGTAACAGGTCAGTGCGGCTGGAGAATGACAGCTGAGGCGGGGAGCAAGCGCTGAACCCCAAGATGCAGGTGAAGACGTTTCATTAGGGTCCCAGGGCCAAGGTCGTGAGCCTGGATTCTGTTATACAATGGGAATCCTTTGGCGGGATTTAAGCAGGAGAGTGGCACTGCCTGGCTCCCATCCTAAACGCTCACTCAGGTGGTAGAGAGTGGACCCTGAGGGGGCTGGGCTCAGGGGAGAGCTAATACCCGCGAGGAACCGCGGGGTTCAGGCAGAGGTGGCAGCTGCGAGGACTAGCATGGCAAAGGCTGGAGCGCATGGAGGGGCTTTGAAGGAGGAGCCAGCAGGACTTGGTGAAAGGCTGGGGGCGGGGAGAGGGAAGGAGGACTTGCGGGGGGTGATGCCCGAGATTTAGGTTTGAGCCAGTAGGTGGATTTCTGGGACCATTCTGGACTTCTGTTTTCTTGGCTAGATATTCCTTCTGTGACAGCTTAAAATGCTGTAGTTCCCGAGATTCTTGATTCAAGGACCATTTTTCTTCTCACCCTGTATTTTCTGCCCAGGTGTTCTTATCGACTCCCACGGACTCAACAGTCACTCAGGCCACATGCTGCAATCGCTCTCCATTCCTCACACCCCACATCCATCCAGTTGCCAAGCCCTTGTTACTCGGCGCCCCGTGCCCGTCACACGAGCTAATTCTCTCCCTCCTCACGTGCCCCACCGTGTCTCCCCCACACCACTCCCGTGTCTGTCTAACTGCCCCTTACTTCCAGCACAGCCTTTGCCCCACTGATCCCTCCCTCACACAATTGCCAATAAATCACGTTACTCCTGATTCAAACACCGGCTTCTCACTGCGCTTAGGGGTCAGTCTAAACCCTCGCCGGGGCCCACACAGGGAGATCAGGTCCCCCACGGTCCCATCTCCGGCCCCTCTCCTCGTCATTCTCTCTACTCCGGTTACTCTGGCCACCTTCCTGTTTCTCAGAAATGCCAAACTCCTTTCTGCCACAGGGGGATCTGCACTTCTTGTCCCCTGCCTGAGGCATGTTTACACCTTTGGTGTTGCTGTCTTTTGCTGGTCCTTAAAGGCCACGTCCTCATGACTTGAGTAACTAATGACCTCTCTGTGTGATGCTGCTTCCTTCCAGACCCTGAGCTCACAGAGGACAGGGATCCTGCTGAGTATACTCAGAATTTGGCATATATTCCATCTTGCATTTCAGACTCAGTACTTTCTAAGTATTTGTTGGGTAAGGTGGAGAAATACTCACACATCTCATAGTGTATTTGTTGAATGAGACTTCCTTTTGAGAAATGTAAGGATGGGGAACAACATAAAAGAATTTATTACACTGAGTGTCTTAAAAATCTATGAATCAACCAGCTATGAGCCTGGAGAAAGAAGGCAAATTCGAAAGCTAATTCATACCCCTTCTATCCCCTCCCCACATAAGCAATCCAGTTTAACTCAGTACCCCAGCTAATACCGCTCTGATCACTGAGTTAGTGGCAACAAAACCCTACTTTTTGGCTCACCCCCATGTGGCAGCCAGCCCCAGCTTTCAAGGTTAACCCTGTAAAGGTGTATGAGGAAAGTTTTAGTGTTGGAAACTGTACCTAAACTATTAGAGAGGTAATGAGCTTGTTAAGAAAGAAATGGTGGAAAGCAACAACTTACGTGTGCTCAAATAAAATGCAGAATACTGCCTGCACCCCGGCCCAGTCCCTTCCCGGCCTGGGACTCTGACTCCACCTCCTCACTGTCGCTGGCCTCGTGCCCTCAGAGAACGGCCACCTCTGGGCCCTCGCTACCACCCGCCTGCCCAGGCTGGCGTTTGTTCATTTGTTCCCACCACCACTTTTCCTGGTCTCTTTCTTTTTTTAGTTTCCTTCTTTTTACACCTTATTTTTCTTAAATTATTGGGATGACACTGCTTAATAAGATCATGTAGGTTTCAAGTGTACATTTCTGATACATGATCTGTATATTGCATTGTGTTCCCACCACCCAAAGTCAAATCCTCTTCCATCGCTGCAAATTTGGCCTCCTTCTATCTTTACTTCCCTCTACCCACTTCCCTCCGATAACCATGTTGTACTGCTGTCTGTGTCTATGAGTTAGTTTCCCATTTTTATCTTTTTTTTTTTCCCACCCATTTCTTAGATCTGGGCCCATCTCCTTATCGAGTCATCAAAAAGAACTAGGCATATATTTCAGTATTTGAAGCAATTAATAAGTCTCATGTTCTCATGGAATCTCTCAAAGTGTTACTTTAAAAAAAAAGAAAAAGAAAAATTTAGCCTCGGAAATGTTTTTCCTGCTAATCTGTGATTGTTAAATATTTTAAGTCACTCTTTGACATTCTTTTCAGTCAGGTCATTTCTTCAACCATAGGAGGATAAAAAAAGACTGATCAGCTCAAGAAATCACTGATAAAATTGAGCACTTGAAATCTGTGCAGTGAAACCACTGGTCTGTACGTGCCTGAGCACCTACTTCCACTACAGACTTCTTACAAGTCCACTAAATAGGTGCCTCGTTATATGTTAACCTCTGTCCGAGGGCGTAGCTCTCAGGGCCTGGCCACAGCATAGGCCTTCTTCCCTGCTCACAGAAGCCCATCTGTGTGTTTCCCAGCCAGTGAAGCACAGACAGTCATTACAAACCCATTTCTCTCTGATGCATACTCACCTCTCGGCCTCCCTTGCAGCTGGGTAGGGAGACGTAAAAGAAAATGTTCTGGGCAAGATTTTTCCCCCCCCTGATAAAGAATCCTCTCACCCCCCTCACACGTCCTGCCTCTGATGTGGTTATGTATGTACGTGATGCCTGGCGCAGCAGCAGCCACATTGTGACTATAAGGGGAAGTCTGAGCATCGCAGGAATTTTGAACCAGAGCCGATGAACAAACCTGGGACCGGCTACTTCAGAGAGTTAAGCGAGATATGAAGTACCTTTCTGCTGAAGTTACTCACTATTAATTGGTGTATTTAATTAATTATATTTTTCATTTTTATATTCTGAAGTTTTGACATCCAGGGCCTTGCTAACCCTGGAAGGACTGCCCCTCCTAGGGTTAGCCACATCCTAGAGACGGTAACCAACTCTCCCATGAGTGTGCCGTTCAAATGCAAACCACCCAATCCTGAGCCCACACCCCAACCGCCTCCTTTAAGGAGCACTCACACCCCAGGCCGCCTTCCACCTGCCCGAGCTGCCCCAGGCCCCAGACAGCGAGGACTGCCCCTGCGGCCCCACGGCCTGCTGAAATGATTCCATCCAGCCCTCCTACGCCTGCTTACCCTGCCTCACCTGGTCTTCCCCTGGACAGTGCAATGAAGGCTCTTGCCCACGCTTTCCCCCCTCTGCCTCCTGACTGCCCTGGGCGGTCCTCCAGGTGGCCCTAAGAGGTGGCCCCCCTCTGGGGGAATGCAAGTAACAAATAGCCCTTTCAGTGCCAATGGTCCCCTGACCTGCCAGCCTTGCTGTAGCTCAGGGAGCCAAATTCCCTCTGACTGGGATAACCTGTAAGACCCTTAAACCAGTGAAAGCTCTGCAAATCAAGGCAGCTTTGCCTCATCCCAGAAACATGATGTCAGCTGTCATCAACACCAAAGGCCGGTCTCAAGCCTCAGGAGGTAACGTTCAGATACTGCTCTTGACACCAGGCCCCGCTGTACTGTGGATGGGCTATTTTAAAAACAGTGTTTCTTGGACCAAAAGAAAGAAGGGGGACCACAGGCAGGTCTGGCTGGGGCCCCATCCACACCCGCTCCTGGGGTCTCACACTAGAGGAGTCTTTGACTGAAGGGTTTCATGTCCAAGGCAATTTTGCAAACTCCCCCTATGGACTGTTCAGATCCCCTTGCTGAAACTCCTCACAGATGCAGAGTGATTCCCACAGGCATTTTTCAGAGCTGTGAACAGTTTATTTCTACTGCACATAAGCGATTCCTGCTGGGGACACCAGGAAAAATAAAAGCGGGCCGGGAAGGACTGGACTGACCAACAGGACACAGGGGGCAGGGACTTGCACTGCAGCGTGAGATGCGACGGGGGGCCGGGCAAGGCGCATTACGTGACGCTCGACAGAAGTGAGGCAGCAGAGGGGGCGTGTGCCGGGGCGCTCTGGGGGGCCACAGGGAATGAAAAGTCAACAGTAACTCTGGCTCAGAAAACACTCCAACAGACGCCAAACATATCGACTGGAAACTCAAGGAAGAAGACAAAACCTCCTAGACTGCACGCACCCTGTTATAAAGCCAAGAGAACGTCTAGGAGTATCTGTTCATCTTTGGTGGCAATTAGGGGCCTGAGGGTCAAGAGGAAAAGCCTGCAACTACCTGTCTGCACCAAGGACCATCCAATGAAATCACATTATGCAACGCCTGTTATTACTAAAGCAGGTTAGCTATGAAGATGTTAGGGCGCTTTTATTTAGCAGGCTCTCTTTACTGTTTCGTTACAGCAAAAACAATTTTCAAGGGCCTTTATGGGTCACTTATAACCTTCGAAGCTACAGCAGGGATTTTTTCCATGAGAATCCATGAGATCGTAAGATGTTATTGAGGCCCATGGAATCTATGAATGAGCTGAAGCGGGGGTCGGAGCGAGGCCAAAGCCTCCTTAGGCGGGGTCTACTGCATGCCCCTGCAAGCCTCCCAGTTGCTGCAGATGCGGGGGAGGTTAGGGCGGAGGGAAAGACGAGGGGAGAAACTGCGCCTTGCCTGGCAAGGGCAGGGGGTGCTGCAGGCAGGTTCAAGGGCCCGGAGGGCCCCAGAGCCCCAGAGGTCGAGTCTCAGACCCAGAAGGGGCTGTATGAACAGCCATACCAAAACACGCCATCATGTGGGCAAACTGCCCTGGGCAGGAGGGCACTTACAGAGCGCTTGTCGGCCTCTGCCCCTTGCTGGCCCTGGAGACATGCAGTGAGCTTCTTGTGCGTGCTGTGGGACACTTGCTTCACCAGCTCCAGCCGCTTCTCCACCTGCAGACAGAGCAGTGGGTGATGTCGCTGGGTGAGGGCAGGGGCAGGACGGGGTCAGCGGTCTGGACAAGGAGGGAAGGGCATCTGACCCATGGTTCTGAGGAGCCAAGGACCGCTGGGGAGACATTCTTCGATTGCAGAGGGCTAGAAGGGGCGGGGCTCAGACTACGGGACTCACCGCTAACCGTGCAATGCAATGACTTTAAATGTCTCCTAAAAAATCTTACCCCAACTGGTATTCAAAATGCAAGGCCCTGTGGTAAGGAATAAAAAGTTGTGTCTCTAAACAGATTTGGATGAGGAGGTGTTGGACAGTTTAAACAGCATGGGGAATGGCTTGGTTTTTAAGGGGACGGTATCTGGGTGTCTATCAGCGAAGGGCCAGCACCACCCTTACCTGAAGAAGGTCTTCACTCAGAACTTCAGTCTTTTCTGCCCTAAAGAGAAAAACGAGAAACATACCAGTCAAACACAAGACAAAACAAAACCAGGAATATAGTCTCATACTTACTCCCCACTGTCTTCACTTATGGAGAGATTAGAAAAACAGACATTAGGAGCAAAAATTTCTAAAAGAAAATATAGAAAATACTGAAATTGACCAAGAACCTTAAAATAACTATAAACAAGAAACTCCAAAGAGTCTCCTGCTACAAGCTGACACCGGGATGGAGGAAAACAAACATATTTCTATTCTTCCCTTTTTTTTTTTTTTTTTAAGTAACAGCATTAAGTAGGTTCTCCCTCCTACGCCCCAAACAAGAAGAATGGCAAACACAGAGACAGCGCTGAGTCCGGGTGGCACGTGCAAAGGTCGGCAATGATCGTGGCAACCAGTGTGAGGCCACCAGCAGCGCGGAGCTCACGCTGAGACGAACACATTCAGGGAAAGTACCCGGACGCTGGCTGAAGGGGTCCCGATCTGTTAGCAACCCCAGCCTCACACCAGAGGAAACGTCTTCCCTGGAGGAAAACATTCCCAACTTAGTGCCTTGAGATGCTCAGAGATAACGTTCAGTCGGTGATTTCTCTCACACACCTGTGCTCCCTCTCACGCGCACGTTCTTTCTCACTAACACTCACACACACACACGCTGCCGATTCACGTGAAAACAAATCATCAAGACTAAGAGTACAGAGAAAGATGAAACACATGCATAGAGTCCAAATGACTGAAATTATCAAAGACTGTAATGTGTATAAAGTATTGAAGAAAGAATGTTATATTTAAAAATCAGTGAGAGGACTTTTGCTTCTGGGAATATGGAGTAAACATATTTTACCTATTCTTCTCATTAAGTATAAACAAAACCTGGGACATTATACACAAAACAAACAGAAGGAAACTGCAAGGTGGAGAACAGGTAGGCTGGCTAGGAACCTTCAGACCCAAGGAATGGAGTAGTGGGGATGTTTTGTTTCATATATTCCATACTCGGGGCTTAAGAGGGTGTGACCTGAAATACCAATGGCTACAGACAAAACAACCTAACAAAAGCCTGGTCTCTGTCGCCAAAGGACCAGGAAAGTGAGTTATTTATAGACAATAGCTACTCACTCCAGCCAAACATGACAGAAAAAACTGTTTTCCTAGCCCACCCACACAAGCAAAGGCTGGGCAGGGAGCAGGGAGTAGGGAGTAGCCACACTCACCAGGCTGTGGCAGGGCACCCCGCCTGCCTCCCACCCCACAGCCAGGGCAGCAATGCCCGAGAAATGAATATGGAGCTGGGACATTTATCACTGCTGGGCAGCGACAATGGAAACCGCATGGGTAGTCTGGACACCCACCCTCACGTGGTGGTAACAACGCATCCCTCCCCTCCCCACAGGGGTGGTGCCACAGGAAGCCCAGTGGGAAGTCAGGACTTTCACCACCAACACCCGTGGTCAGGAGGCCACCCTCTCCCGCAGTGTTAATGAAAGCCAAATAGGGAGCAGTAACGAGACACTCCTACCCCTCCCAGCCAGGGAGGCCTCAGGGGAGGCCTGCTGGGGGGCCAGAATCCCCACCCCCTCCCAGAAGGAATGGGGAGCACCCACTGTTGGGGGCGTGGGGACACGGAAGGCCAAGTTGGGAACCAAGACTTCTACTCCTCCTTGGCCGTAACAAAGCAAATTCCACCTTTCTCTGCCTGCTTTAGATAAAGCCAGCTAAAAGAGCAAGTTTAAATAATATCCAGAGTCTCATAAAGTAAGATTCACAAGATCCAGGTTTCAATAAAAAATTACTCGTTGCACCACTCCCTAGAAAAATCTCAAAATAAATGAAACGAAGACACTCACTATGCCAACAGCAGGACGACAAAGACATTAGAATTATCTGACAAAGACTTTAAACATTTACTATACAAATGCTTCAGAGAGCAATTACGAACATACCTGAAACAAATAAAAAACCCAGAAAGTCTCAGAAAAGAAGGTATAAAGAAGAATGAAATGAAAATTTTAGAGCTGAGAAATACGATCATCTAAATTTTAAATTCCCAGTGGATGAGTTCATCTGCAGAACAGAGAAGGCAAAGGAAAGAATCAATGAACTGAAAGGAAGCACAATAAGAAATTTCCTGTCTGAACAACAGAGTAAAAACAGACCAAACAAACAAACAAAAATAGTCTCAGGGACCTGTAAGGCTGTTACAGAAGATTAAATATTTACGTCATCAGAGTTCCAGAAAAAGAAGGTAGTGCTGAAAAAAATACCAAAAGAAATAATGACTGAAAACTTTCCAAATTCAGCAAAACACATAAACATACATACTGAACAAGCTGAGCAAACCCCAACCAGGATAAACACAAAGAAATGCTCACCAACACTCACACTAACTTCTACAAACTAAAGACAAAGACAATACTGACAACAGTGAGAGAGAAACGATACCTGACTCATGGGGGGAACACTGGGAATTAGAGGTTTCTGTGAGAAACCACGTAGAACAGACGGAAAGGACACACCTTTTTTCAAGTGCTGAAAGAAAATAACTGTCAATCTAAGATTCTATACCCAAAGAAAGTATACTTCAGAGATGAAGAAGAAATCAAGATAGTCTCAGATAAAGAAAAACTAACAAAAATTGTTATCAGCTGTCTACCTTACAGAATTGCTAAAGGAAGGTCTCTAAACTAATTACAAAAAAAACTGGTAAAGAAAATAACCTTGATATATTAGAAAGGAAGAAAGAACATGGTGAGCAAAAATGGTAAATACAATAGTCTTTCTTTCTCCTCTTGAGTTTTCTTAATTCTGTTTGATGGTCGAAGCAAAGCTATAACACTGTGTGATGTGGTTTTAAATGTACGCAGAGGACATTTTTAATACAATTATATTATAATTGGGGGAGAATTTTGATAGATTTTACTCAAGTAGGTAAAATAATGACACCAATAGACTGACAAGTTATATATATGAAATGTAATACCTAGAGCCACTACTAAAAAGATACAAGAGATGCACTCACAAACATTATAGATAAATCAAAATGTAAATTAAACACAGCAAAGAAAGAAAAAGAACACAAAGCAACAAAAAACAAACATAACACAAAGGGCAAAATGGCTGACATAAGCCTTAATATATATATAATTATTAAATATACATGGTCTATATATGGCAATTAAAAACAGATTCGCAGAGTGGATTATAAATATGTTGTCCACAAGAATTTCACATATAATGATATAGGTAAGTAGAAAGCAAAAGAATAGGAAAAGCATCCTGCAATCCTTAATCAAAAGGAAAGAGAAGTGGCAGTATTAATATCAGATAAATATACCTAAAAACAGAGAAAATGACCAGAGAGAAGCATAATATAATGATAAAAGGACCAATTCACCAAGAAGATATACCTTAAATGTATATGCACTAAACAACAAAGCTGCAAAACATGTGAAGCAAAAATTGACAACTGAACAAAAAAATAGATAAATCCACAATTATAGTTGGAGACGTCAACATCCCTCTCTCAACAATGATAGACCAGATAGTTATTTTTAAAAATAAGCAAGAATATATAAGAACACAACAATTCCGTTAAGCAATAGAATTTAATTGACATTTATAGAATATAGAAGGAAACATCCTCAACTTGATAAATAACATAGGCAAATAAAAAAATAATTCCAACCCACAATTTACATTATACTTAATGGTAAAAGCCTAGATGTCTTCCCCAGTAAGACTGGGACCAAGGCAAGTATGTCTGCACTCAACACTCATTCAACATAGTGCTGTAGGTTTGAGTCAGTGCAATCAGTCAAGAAAGAAGGTAAGAACTACAGATCTGAAAGGGACAAAGAAAAATGCCCCTATGGGCAGATGACATGATTGTCTCCATAGAAAATGTCAAGGAGTCTACAACAGAAATCCTAGAACTAACAGATGAGTTTAGCAAGGCTGTATGACACAAGGCAAACATACAAAAATAGATTTTATTTCTAGACACTAGGGATGAGCACATGAATATTGAGATTATAAATAAAATACCATTGCAAATGCTTTAAAAAATACATATAAGTCTATCAATGTACACACAGAATATATATGCTGAAAACTACAAAATACTTATAAAAGAAATCAAAGATCTAAAATGGACAGACATATTGTATCACTATATTGAAAGAAAACATAATAAAGATATAAATACTTGTAAAATTAGTAATCCCAAGCAAAATTGCAACAGGATTTGCTGTAGATATAGACAAACTGATTCTAAAATTGTTACAAAAATGCAAAGCAAGTAGACGATCTAAAACAATTTTCAGAAAGAATAAATCTGTAGGACTCACTGTGCAATTTTAAGATTTTATGGTAGTGAAAGGACAGAATGACAAATCAATGGAACAGAATAAAGAAAAAAACTAGACAGGTATAACCAACTGATTTATTTTTAAATTTTTTTTATCCTCACCTTAGGACACTTTTTCATTGCTTTTAGAGAGAGAGGAAGGGAGAGAGGACTGGAGGGAGAAACATCGATGTGAGAGAGAAGCATCAATTGGTTGCCTCCCATATGCACCCGGACCAGGGATCAAACCCAAACCAGCAATCTAGGTATGTGCCTGGACCAGGAATCAAAACCCACGACCTTTTGGTAATGAGACAATGCTCCAACCAACTGAGCCACATCAGCTAGGGCCCAACTAATTTTTTAAAAAGGTGCAAAGGCAGTTCAATGAGGAAAAAGGGACTTTCTAACAAATTGTGCTAGAACAATTGGATATTCATATGAAAAAATATGAATCTTGACCATACATTAAATAACTCACAATGGATCATAGACTTAAATATAAAACATAGGACAATAAAACTTTTGAAGAAAACATATGAGAAAACATCTTTGACCTTGGGTTAGGCAATGAGCTCTTAGATATGATATCAAAAGTTATTATCCATTAAAAAAAAACTGACATTAGATTTCATCAAAATTAAAAGCTTTTG